TTTGTAGATGACGAAGCTGCATCAAATAAGGAAAACATTGATCCTAGTGAAACAGATGATTAGCTCCATAGGAATGATTCCTATCATACCAACAATATTGTTGATGAGAACATGTCCACTCAATTATCATGTAATTAAATATGCTAAAATATTTTAGGTCTTTTAAAATGATATTGCAATAATATGACCCAATATAGCTAATGAATGTATTTATATGATTTCATTGATAGATGAGCCAGAAATAAAAACTATAGAGAAGGGGAGCACTATTGGTACAAAAAGTACATTGAGAAGTGACTACAAGAGTGGATGGTACAAAAATATGACGCCTGAATAGAGGGAAGCCAGGCGTGAGCGTCAAAGGCTACACAATGTTGAACCCAAGCGTAAGGAGGCATTGAAATTGTCTAAGAAAAATTTCAAAGAGGTGCGGAAGCACACCCTGCACCTAGAGTCTATCGCCATGGAGAACCCATTATATATTCCTGAGGTTGTGTGGCCCACTGCGGGCGCATCTGGAAATCATGGAACTACGACAAAATCCAGTGATTGGGTTATCCTAGAGTTCAGTGCAACACCTCTTTATATTCCTCCACCTTATGAGGAGGTCGATGACGAAGGATGCGATGAGTTGTTGTCTGACCATATGACACAAAGATCATATGTTCCATCTGGACAAAGACATGCGTTGTTAATGCGTCATAACATGATGTTCGAGCGCCGCATTGGCTCGAACACAAGGGCATCTAATAAAGATGGTGACTGCATGGCTGAAGACCGAGTGGGTGCTAACACACCCTTGACTCAATCAGTCATGACCAACAACAATATATATTGATGCCTCATTATCCCATTTAGGGGACCTATATACCATATTATACCTAATCGATCCATGGTAATTCCATGATTAACAGAAAGGACAGGACCCAAAATTCAGGCTACATCATCCACACCGACGGCACCACTGTTTGATGATTGTGAATGCATGGCTGAAAAATACCCGAATGATAACACACCCTTGTCTCAATCAGTCCTGACCAACAACGGTAAATACTAATGCCTCATGACCCCATTTAGGTGACCTATATTGTATACCATATTATACCTAACTCAATCATGGTCATTACATGATTATCATAAAGGATAGGACCTAGCCCTCAGCCTGCATCAGATGCACCGATGACACCACTTTTTGATGATAGTGGTAATTTACACTATTTTGTAACATTCTATAAACTATTTGAACTCCTTTGTTTATTTTTACCCGTAGTTCTACTAACTCATGTATCTTTGATGGCCATAGATGATGATGAGGGAGATATATTTGAAGAGGATGATGAAGAGGATGAGGGATACCTATTTGCCAGGCAAGGTATTTGTATGAAAGACCGAATATAAATCAAATCTTCCACTACTTTATCTAAACTATTACAGCTTAAATGTTATTTCAGAAGAGGAAGATGATGATGATGTCCAAGACAATGACCTTGAGGAAGCCACGACTTCTATCCCTGAAGTACCTGACTGATATGATGAGGTGTATAGTAACATGCCTACAGGTACCCATATGTTAAAACCTGTTGCAAATTGCGAGCACTGCGATGCGAAAAGGTTTGAGCATGAACCACGTGGGTTATGTTGTCGTGACGGAAAGGTCAAGCTCAATGAACTGAACGTACCTAATGAGCTTATGAGGCTTTGGTCAAGTAATGATGCAGATGCTAGGCACTTTCGTAACAACATTAGGTTTTCAATGGCCATTTCTCTTTCACTTCTCTATATTGTCGCCTCGATAACGCTACTGCAAGCTAGAAGAACAGTGGCATATACACTTTTCGTGCACATGGCTAGATCTATCACAACATAAGATCATTTGGTAGAGAAGAGGGTAAGGAGCCAAGACATCTCAAGCTTTACTTATACGACGATGATCAAGCCTTGAGCACCGCTATCGACGATGTCATGAAGAGAAGTGCCAAAAAGACAAGGAAGTCATTAAGAGGCTTGTGGCCATCCTTCGTGACAACCCATACTCACAACATCTTAGGAGTGTGGGCTAGGATCACCACCTCAAGGACTATCATGTCACACTAAACCTTGACCAGAGGCTGGACCAGAGAACATACAATGTACCATCAACTTCAGAGGTGGCTGCTGTTTGGATCGAGGGAAGCGAACTCCTTGGTCAGTTCTAGAATAGTGTCGTCCTACATGGGAAAGATAAAAGTAGACATGACATCCACTCATATCATGGATGTTACGATGCTCTTTTATACCCTATATTCTTCCCTAAGGGTGAGCTTGGGTGGCACATGGATATTCCAAAGAAAGAAGTAAGTATGGAAGAAGTCATCGAGTATCGTGGCCTATAGAAGGCTCGTAGTGGGTCAGAAGAAGAAATAAGTTTGTTATTCTTCTTATTTAAATACTTCGCATACATGTACCTCAGTGGTTATTCTACAAACAACTCTAATTCATGGCAAGCACAGGGCAAAGTTTGACAAAATAGGGTACGTCGTGATACATTACGACAGATTAGAAGAATCATGTTTGCCAATCCAGCCGAGGGGGAGCGTTACTATCTTAGGGTTCTCCTGAACCACGTGGCAGGTGCAACCTCCTTTGAGTGTCTAAGGACCGTGGATGGCAAAATCCTACCGACCTTCCATGAAGCTGTAGAAAGAAGGGGCTTAATTGAAGAGGACAATACGCTGAACGAGAGTCTCGCTGAGGCAACCGGGTGGATGATGCCATATGCACTGCGAAGGCTCTTTGCAATAATATTGGTATTTTGTGAGCCCAGTGATGTGTTTGGACTATGGGAGAAACACAAGGAGGCAATGTTGGAGGACTATAGGCGCAATAATCAATCCACCTTCATGGTGGAGCAGACGGTCCTCATGGATATTCAAAAATTGCTACAATCAATGCAGAAGGATATAAAGATGTACCCACTTCCTGATATCGACGACACATATGATGCCTCTCATGATATTCCTAGAGAGATTTTTAAGGAGGCTAGCATTGAGGTTAACGAGGATGATGTGGCTCTGTCAGACACCCTTAACAAGGAGCAGCGGACTACATACGATGAGATCATGTCCTCGATTGATACCGAGGATGGGGGTCTCTTCTTTGTGGATGGTCCTGGCGGGACCGGAAAGACTTATCTGTACAGAGCACTTCTCGCTACTGTATGTAGTCAGAAAAAGATTGTAGTGGCAACAACTATATCTAGTGTTGCAGCCTCAATAATGCCTGTTGGCAGAACCGCCCACTCGCGCTTCAAGATTCCCCTCACTATCGATAATGGGGCATTTTGCACCTGCACGAAACAGAGTGATACTACCAAGCTACTTCGAGCCGCATCCCTTATTATTTGGGACGAGATGACAATGATAAAGAGGCAAGGTGTTGAGGCACTAGGCAACAACCTTCGTGATATAATAGACCGACCAGAGTTGTCGTTTGGGGGGAAGACCGTGGTGTTCGGTGGAGATTTCAGACAGGTTCTTCCCGTTGTTCGGAGAGGGTCAAGGGCTCAGGTAGTTGGTGCCTCGCTGCGGATGTTGTACCTTTGGGATTCCATGCGGCATCTAAAACTGGTGCATAACATGAGGGCAAAGAGCGACCCATGGTTTGCAGAATACTTGTTGCGCATCGATGGAGGTTCTGAGGAGGCGACTGTTGATGATGAAATCCGTCTTTCTCATGATATATGTGTTTCACACACCGGGGAAGATAGTGATCTTGATACTCTAATTGATTGCATATTCCCTAACCTCAATCCAAATATATCAAGCAAAGATTATATCACCTCTCGAGCGATATTATCTACGCAGAACGAATGGGTTGATATGATTAATATGAAGATTATGGGTCATTTCCACAGGAATGAGATGGCGTACCATAGCTTTGACTGTGCGGTGGATGATTCGCACAATTACTACCTTGAGGAATTCCTTAACACTTTGACACCCAATGGTCTACCTCCACATGTGTTGAAGCTGAAGATTGGTTGTCCGGTCATATTGCTTAGGAAGATTGACCCTGCGAACGGACTTTATAATTGTATTAGCCTTATTATACGGGGGTTCCAAAAGAATACCATAGACGCAGAAATTGTGTTGGGACAGCACGCTGGAAAGCGGGTTTTTCTGCCTCGAATACCCTTATGCCCGTCGGACGATGAGATGTTCCCTTTTCAATTTAAGCGAAAGCAGTTCCCTATTCGGCTCAGCTTCGCAATGACTGTTAATAAGGCACAGGGGCAGACTATCCCTAACGCCGGGATATACTTGCAGGAACCAGTGTTCTCGCATGGCCAATTATATGTGGCGCTATCAAGAGCTACAACAAGATCAAACATTAGGATCTTTGGCTGTGCCGGCTGCTGAGAAGGGCGTGAACAGGGAAAAGGAAAAGGGAAGGGGAAGAAGAGACCGACAAAGGATATATTCACAAAGAATATTATATATAAAGAGGTTCTAACTCTATGAAAGAGGTAATGCATTACACGTCGATACATATTTTTTCGAGATATATCAATAATACTTTAACTTTAAAAATTAACAAACAACTTATGTGCAGGATACTTCTAACTACAGCTTCAACTATCTGCATGCTTCAGCTGCAAAAAGTTAGATGCCGTATCTTGGACTTGAAAATATTCTGGATTATCTTTGATCGGTGACCAGTCTCTTGGTCGAAACATTGAGAGGTTAGATTCTTAATTGTACAATATATTATAAAACATGTATTGTAAAACACAAATTTGTTATAATTAAGGTGAATACTCATGTATTGCAACTTGTAAAACATCGCGATTGCAGTATCTATTTTAGATACGATATAACACGCGCTCATACATATATTATCGTGATATTATGTGTATCCGTTGCCACGTACGGATATTTAACTAGTACCTAATAAAATTGAAGAAATAATGAAAAAGGAAAAAATGAGCTGCGAAATTGGTGAGCTGGTATGCCGCCACCTAGCTACGACGACGACACGAGGTGTGAAAAGAGCATCTGGTTCCAGACGTCGGGCACGCCGGGGAGGCACCAGTGGATGCAGTCGGCGCCGCTGCTGGGGTCGCGCGTCCACGCCTCCAGCTCCGCCGCCGTGGGCGGGCTCCACTGCCGCCGGTGCACCGATGGGTGCGCGTCCTTGCGGTGCTCCGACAGCTGCGTCACGTTCAGCACCCGCACGGCGACGCCGCGCGCGCCCAGGCGCGCCACCTGGGCCTCCACGGCGCGCGCGAACGCTGGGTCCGTGTCCTGCCCGTGGTGCCCCTCCGCCATGATCGGCTCCGTCTCGTTGTAGCACTGGTGGTTGCCGCCGCTCCCGGCCCCGGCCGCTTCCCACTCGTCGGAGTGGAGGTGCGTCGGCGACATGCTCGTGAAGAAGAGCTGGGTGCGGGCGCGGTCGACGTGGCGCTCCAGCCACTCCGACCATGTGCTGATCGACAGCTCGAACGCGCGCAGGCTGTTGGTCACCTCGTACGCCGCCCTGTGCGCGCCCTCCGCCGCCGCCTCGAACGACGCCCACCTGCACGTACGTACGCCGCACCGAACGCACGGTCAGTGTCAGTCTCACCGTCAGTCAGACAGTGAGACGGAACAGAGCACACACTCACAGGACTTTCATGGTCGGGCGCCGCCACCAGAGGTAGGAGTTGAAGACGAGCACGTCGGCGTCGGCCCAGCGCCTGGCGTGCTTGTCGATGGAGCCGGCGCGCACGACGCGGTCGGCCACCCGGTGGTGAACCGGATGGTCCGAGTTCGACTCCACCAGCAGCGGCGACCAGTAGAAGTCCACCGACGCGTTATACTCCTGCACGCAAAATCTGATGGTGTCAGTCTCACTCAGGTGGCATACATGCGTGCATGTTGAATGACAGACATGGTGGATCGGCTGTACATGGATCTTGAAGGAAACGAGGGAGCCGTTGCCGCCGGCCATGGACTTGCGCAGCATGGGGGTGGCGGTGTCGATGAGGCAGACCATGGATATCCACTGGTTCCGGTTCAGCGAGTCGCCGACGAAAGCTAGCCGCTTGCCGCGCAGCCTCTGGAGCAGCTTCACCGCGTCGAACCTGCCCGGCCGGCGGCATTCATCAGCAACTGATGATCACGAAACAAGCGAGTTCCTACGCACGTATGCGGCACGCACCTCGGAAGATCGCAGCCGTGTGGCTGCCAACGCCAGTGCTGGTACTTGAGATCCGTCCTCCCGAACTTGCCGCACGCCGACTGGTCCGACATGAACTTGCACGCGCTCTCCTCGTACAGCGGGTACGCCGCGTCGTCGTACACCCACCGGCCGGACGACATGTCGCACTCACCCTGCCTGCCGGCGCCGGCGTCATCCGCAGGTGGCGTCGCGGTCGTCGTCTCCCGCTGCCCAGGCCCGCCGCCGCCGATGCCGCCGTCTTTCTTGGTGGTGGTGACAGAAATCGCGAGGACGACGAACAAGACGAGGAGCAGCAGCACGAACGAGTTGAAGTGGCCGCGGCGGAGGCCGAAGCTGACGGTGACGCCCCACGCCGCCGCCCTAGCGTGAGGCTTCTTCGCCGGCGCCTCCGACACCAGCCACGCCTCCTCGAGGCCGTCACCGCCGGCGCCGGCCGTGCTCCGCCCCTTCCGCGGCGTGGTGCACCCGGTCATCTTGACACCTGGGACGACGACGTCGATCGGGGATTCGGGGCCGAGGAAATTTGCAGGGTCCGCCGGTTGCTCGCAAGCATTAGCACTGCATGTGCGATCAAATAGCTTGCATGGTGTGTGCGCAGGCAGGTGAGTCATGAGTGCACTGGCACTGCACTACTGCAGCAGGTGCTAACCGATCGCTTGTGGTAAAAGATTCCTTTTAGGTGAGACTGAGAGAGTTGTTGCCCCTTGATCTTGTAGGTTTTGGTGCACCTAAACAGCTACTATGAACTGCATCAACGCCTCAATTCCTCTCCAAATCAGGGCGCAAAACGTACTGTATTAGTATTAGTTCTGTGCGTGTACAAACACTGGAGATGGAGATGGAGATGGAGAGGTTAGGAGGTGGTTCTGACCGATACACAAAGAAGTGAAGAACAGCTGAAACAGGCTTGGCCATGGTGTTTCTGAAGACGATTTGTTCATTGTAGTACCAGTAATGTACGTATCTGCAAAGTCAGAGCTGCCCCATCTGGCTTGCAAGCTAAGGTTTACAAATTTTTGGAGAAGTCCATGTATGTGGAGCAGATGACATGTAACTAGCGCAGTTCTGGTGAGAGTGAGACCCCATCAGCTAGTAAATTCCTGCCCTACAAATTAAGCCCTAACCGCAAGAGACTAATTGTAGATCAATAGCTGGGAAGTAGCATTCATTCACCAACTTTAAGCTTTGTTTACAGTGCATATGAGTGTCACGTCCGGTTAGTTAGGGTCTCCGTTGTATATTCCTTAATTTAGTCAAGCATAAACTAAAAGGCTAATGCAGTGTCTCTTTCAGCTGCATATTCATCATGTTTGTGGAAACAGGCTAATGAATTGCAGCCTGCAGAGCACGGATAATATATAAAAAAGACATAAAGTTAAAAGTTAATCAAAAGGAAACAGGCCAGTCAGGTTAATTGGACGGCAGAACTGAAACTCAAATCAAATCCAGATCTTCCTTCCCTTCTAAGAGACTAAAAGTTTTGGAAGAAGGCCTTTCGTTGTCCACATCATTTTTGTACTGTCAACTGCTCTGCATCTCCCGCCATCACGCGATGCGATGTTCAACATAGGACAACATCGGACCAGACCTTTTTCAGAGCAACCTGCTGCATAATTCTTCGTGTCTGCTGCGATGGTCCCGACATCTTCCGTACGGGTGAGCCGACCGCTCACCATCGGTATCGACCACGTACTATAGCAAGACGTAGAAGAGAAAGGGAGAACAGAGCACACACACAGTACAAGCATCAGTGTTGTCCGAAGCTCTGTAGAGGATATGGTAAAACTGAACTCGCTCACTTTATTGAGGTGTAGTGAGAAGCTATATATACAACTCTACCCATCTTATTGTAATACACAGACATACCAGGCTGCCATGCTGCTACCCGCACTATAGATGTGACAGCAGGGCTGACTTTGGCCTCTGCCCCTGCTGTGGCTACAGTGCGGCAGGGGAGACTTTGGCGCCTGCCTCTGCCGCGGCTATAGTGCAGTAGCAGGGAGCCCTTTCGACGCCTGCCCCTGCCGCACGTACAGAGATGGGAGAGCAGCATATTACTTTACAATTCTTCTCCTAATCCTGCTGCTAACCATAGAACCTCCACCATGCCGATCATCTTCTTCAGCTCCGTGAACCGAAGACGGTCGAGCGGCTTAGTGAGGACGTCCGCGAGTTGCCGACCAATTTCGACGAACTCGATGACGATCTGCCCTCCATCGACACAGTCCCTAAGGAAGTTGTCGGATACCAGAAAATGGGGTACCCCAAGCAAAGATCAAAAAACTGCTCAGACCCTAAGAACAGAACCAACGGAATAAACAAACGAGGTCTCGGCCGAAATCTCCGATTCGCCCGAGACCCCGTCGCTGAGCCCCAGCAGAAGCGAACGATTCTCCGACTCGCCCGAGACCACCTCGCCGAGGCCCCCTCGTCGAGGCCCCCTCGCCCAGGGCCTCGGAAGAAGTGCCGATTCTCCGATTCGCTCGAGGCCGGCTCGGCACCAGCCCCGTGACCGCCTCTTCGACCAAACTGCTCTGACCGAACGTCGCATCCAAGCGCCCAACCACTCCGACAGACGCACGATGGCACGATACAGCGAAGTGACCGACTACACGCCAGTCGCGTCAACCTCCTGCCATCTGCGACGGCACAGAGCAGGGGTTACCGACCACTGTGCTACCTAACTCCTGCACCAAGGACATCGCAACATGGGGAGTCAGAACGGGTTCCTGTAGCCTCGGAATCAGCGGACCGACCGCTCCGGCTCGCCCGAGCTCCCTCGACAGGGCCTCGGATTCACTGATCTTACTCTGCCTCGCCCATCCGCCTCGCCCGAGACCCCCTCGGAAGGGTCTCGGACGAATTGGTCGCGCTCCGCCTCGCCCGAGGCTAGGCTAGGCTCGTCCCACAACCTCGTCGCCTCCGCCTCAAAAGTCTCTCTGGCAGGCTGTCACATCCGATTAATGCGCTCAGCCGCACCCGCTTCGTAAGCCACGATCGGCGGTGCTTGGCAGCGGGAGAGCGACGGGACAACGGTCGATCACCTTTTTACCATCCCCTCATCGACAATACAGGTGCAGTATCACAGAGGCGCACGTCTCGCACTATTCCGCTGACGGCGGCTGAGACCCCGATCGCGCACCTAGGTCACTTCTCAGGCCTCGGCACGGCAGGCCTCGGCACAACAGGCCTCGGCACGACCGGCTACGATGGCCGCCGAGCCTCTGCAATCCACCAAGTCAACAAATGCACAGCATGTTACTTGCAGTGGAGACCATACCGATTAGACATCTATGGGAACTCCCACGACAATGCCATGCTGCTCCAGGAGTAAATACGTCATCGAATAGTCCGCTCCACGTGTAGCTCTCTTATGTACTCTGGTTTCCTCCACTGGGCTATATAAAGGAGGCGGCCAGGACCGTTTCTAGGGATGGCGGATAGAGTCACGAACACTGCGCACGAACAACACGCCGCATTACGTAATTCATATCACCTCCCTCATAGAGACTTGGGACGAACTCCTCTCTCGCCTAGCTTGTAACCCCTACTACTACAAGCACCCCGGTGTAAGGAATACAAGAACATCTTCGGGGATCGGACGTAGGGCATCCATTGCCCAAACCAGTATAAACCTTGTGTCTCTTTGCATCACCATCCGGAATTGGGAGCACGCAAGCACAAATTCACTAGTCGGTTAAGGACCCCCGGTTCGAAACACCGACAGTTGGCGCGCCAGGTAGGGGCCTCTGCGTGTCAGCTTAGTCATCCCACCAGATTCGGATGGTAGATCCCGATGCGATCGTTGCGTCTCGGGACGATCGTCTGGTTCGGGAGCCTAGAATTCATGTCTCTAGGGCACGAGTACGACATGGTACTCCTCTCTCACCAAAGGCGCCATCAACCGACGATGACGCGTCATGCACCGGCAGTACCAGACGCGCAGACGGGCGCCGAGCCGCCGCTCTGTAAAAGCTTCATAAGCGCCCGCGGCGGAGATCCACCCTAACACCGCGCAAGTACAGAACGTCGATCTGTGCTCCACCGGAATCCCATACCCCGCTGCTGGCATAGAGTCCTTGCACGGGGACCTGTCCGGCTTAAGCCTCGATAGGGGAAAAGGGCCGGTGGCGCACAGCGATGCCCCATCATCAAGCTTTGTCCCGCCTCCTCCCAAGGAGCCAGCTCTGGCGGAGCCGAGCCTGGCGACGGCGCCATCCCCGTACCCTTTCGGGCTGACCAATGTCGCCGCCTCCTACGCCACCGCCCTCGTCTCCATTCATCAACGTCACGCCCATAACCCCATAGTCACAACTCCAATCCACCCCCACTCTGACTCCTCGGAGGAGGACGAGGCGTGGGTTGGAGCAGACTTCTCCGGGATTCACGACCCTGAGGCGATGCGCCGCTTCATGATCGCGAGTAACTACTGCTTTGGCTACTCCGATTTTAACGGCGAGGACGCTTGCGGCCCGACTCGTGAGTGTTTCCACATCGAACTCGGAATACCGAGCACGGGCAACGATGGAGGAAGGGCAGCCAACGCCACACCACCACGCGGGATCCCGCCCATGGCGCGCGGTGTCCCCACCCCGAGCAACTTCGACGCATAGACCTAGAGCAGCTCCGTGAGCTTCAAACCAAGGTCGAGCAAGATCGACTCCTCCTGCAGCAGCTCCGAGCCACCCTCGAGCAAGAGCAGCGGGGGCGCGGTGATGGTGGAACGGCCCGGCTAGGGGCTCGCGACGTCAATCGCCGCATTAACGATGATGAGGGGGGCGAGCAACCCCCTGTCTTCAATCATGCTAGCCAGAACGTCGCTGCGGCGGCGATACTGGTCCGAGCGATGCCCGAGCCCTCTACCACGGAGGGGCGACGGGTCCACGGCGAACTCTGGGGCCTTCTCGAGACTGTCGCGGTGCAGCAGGCCGAAAGCTCCGCGTCTCGACGACGCGGGGACGCCTCAAAACAGCCCTCGGTGCACGACCGCCTCAGGGCCCCCTCGGTGCACGACCGCCTCGACGACCAACGCGAGGCGCAAAACGGCCACCACATGGGCAGCAGACGACGGTGCCACGACCACGATGGGGCCACCCGGGGCTACCAATTGCACCAAGGTGGTCGCTATGACAGTGGGGAGGACCGCAGTCCTTCTCCCGGGCCGCCTGGCCCTAGAGTTTTCAGTAAGGCCGTCCGCAGCGCCCGCTTCCCGGCTCGGTTTTCGTCGACCCCAAATGAATCTCTCAAAATCAATGGCGAGACCAACCCCGAGCTATGGTTGGCGACACCGTCTAGCTTGTCAGCTAGGCGGTGCGGACGATGACCTGCTCATCATCCGCAACCTCCCCCTATTTCTGTCAGACTCAGCGCGATCCTGGCTCGAACACCTTCCCCCTATGCAAATCCATGACTGGCGTGACTTGGTAAAGGTCTTCGTCGGGAATTTCCAGGGCACCTACGCGCGCCCCGGGAACTCCTGGGACCTCAAGAGTTGCCGCCAGGGGCCGGACGAGTCTCTCCAAGACTTCATCCGATGTTTCTCCAAGCAATGCACCGAGTTGCCTAGCGTCGGTGACTCAAAAATCGTCCAGGCATTCCTCTCCGGCACCAC